TCCCCGCTGGCAAGTGAACATCCCCCGAGGGCTGCCGGGCTGCCACAGGGATGTCTGATTGCCAGCTTAGGCCCAATATCCCGAGGAGCAGGCCTAAGCCAGCAGGTGGTCATCCCCAGAGGGGTCCCAGACTGCGAGAGGGTCAAGGCTGCGCTGAGGGGACCCCCCGCCCACCCCAGTGCACAAAATTTTGTGCACCGGGCCTGTAGTAAATAAAATAAAAGACTGCTAAATTGCCCAGCAAGCATGGCTCATTGGTTGAGCTTCAATGTATGAGCAAGATGGTCATGGTTCCATTCCGGGTGAGGGCACAAGCCCTGGGTTCGGAATTGGTCCCCTCTTTGAGGAATGCAGGAGGCAGCCAGGAAATGATTATTTCTCATCATTGATGTTTGCCTTTCTCTCTTCCTCTATGTTCCTATCAAAAATCAATAAAAATATATTTTCTAATAAAAAAATAATAAAATACCTAGCTTAATTGGCTCAGTGGATAGAGCATTACCCTGAGGACTGCAGGAACCCAGGTTCAATTTCAGTCAAGGGCACATGCTCTGGTTTCCGGATTAATCCTCATGGGGGGCATGCAGGAATCACCTGATCAATGATTGTTTCTTATCAATGATGTTTCTCTCGCTCTCTCCCTCTCACTACTTCTCTGAGTTTAATAAAAATATATTTAAAAGTAATAATAAGCCCTGGCTGGTTTGGTTCAGATGATAAGAGCGTCGGCCTGCGGACTGGGGGATCCCAGGTTCGAATCCAGTCAGGGCATGTACCTTGGTTTGCAGGCACATCCCCAATAGGGAGCGTGCAGGAGGCAGCGGATTGATGTTTCTCTCTCATCGATGTTTCTAACTATCTAGCCCTCTCCCATCCTCTCTGTGAAAAATATATATATACACACACACACACACACATACATATATATATATATGTATGTGTGTGTGTGTGTGTGTATATATATATTTTTCACAGAGAGGATGGGAGAGGGCTAGATAGTTAGAAACATCGATGAGAGAGAAACATCAATCCGCTGCCTCCTGCACGCTCCCTATTGGGGATGTGCCTGCAAACCAAGGTACATGCCCTGACTGGATTCGAACCTGGGATCCCCCAGTCCGCAGGCCGACGGTCTTATCATCTGAACCAAACCAGCCAGGGCTTATTATTACTTTTAAATATATTTTTATTAAACTCAGAGAAGTAGTGAGAGGGAGAGAGCGAGAGAAACATCATTGATAAGAAACAATCATTGATCAGGTGATTCCTGCATGCCCCCCATGAGGATTAATCCGGAAACCAGAGCATGTGCCCTTGACTGAAATTGAACCTGGGTTCCTGCAGTCCTCAGGGTAATGCTCTATCCACTGAGCCAATTAAGCTAGGTATTTTATTATTTTTTTATTAGAAAATATATTTTTATTGATTTTTGATAGGAACATAGAGGAAGAGAGAAAGGCAAACATCAATGATGAGAAATAATCATTTCTTGGCTGCCTCCTGCATTCCTCAAAGAGGGGACCGATTCCGGACCCAGGGCTTGTGCCCTCACCCGGAATGGAACCATGACCATCTTGCTCATACATTGAAGCTCAACCAATGAGCCATGCTTGCTGGGCAATTTAGCAGTCTTTTATTTTATTTACTACAGGCCCGGTGCACAAAATTTTGTGCACTGGGGTGGGCGGGGGGTCCCCTCAGCGCAGCCTTGACCCTCTCGCAGTCTGGGACCCCTCTGGGGATGACCACCTGCTGGCTTAGGCCTGCTCCTCGGGATATTGGGCCTAAGCTGGCAATCAGACATCCCTGTGGCAGCCCGGCAGCCCTCGGGGGATGTTCACTTGCCAGCGGGGA